GACTCTGAGAAGAACAAACCATGGTTCGTCTCCATGCAGCAAGGGCCTCCATTCTTATTTTTAACCAGAAAACTACATCATTGCCGCTTTCGCGTTGCTCCAAGATATAGTGGAGCTTTGTGTTGGGGCATTCAGTGAGAGAAATCAACTCTTTTCCTTTATATACATCAGACATTTCAAAAAATTTCCCGAAGTTATTACAAACACAATAATTTTGGCACACTAAGATTCGCGGTTTTTTTTWAAACTGCAAAGTCAGATGGGTAAACTAGGGTTCAGTCTCTCTAGGCTTTATTTTGAACGCCTAGCACAATTTATTCAAGATGGCTGCTTCGAAAAAGAAGATAGCAAGTAGTTTTCCTCGCTTTTCACATCAACTAAAGCACTTTCTATGGATGATATTGCACTTGTGTAGACGTCATTTGTGCCATAGTTTAAATCTTAAAAACCGAGCCTGTATCGAGAGGAATTTATCAAAATATTTTGCTGAGCAATGGTCTGTTATTTCAACTCGTGAAATACATATGCGGCAAGGTTAGTACGCACATATAGGGATAGAAAATTTAAATGTAGTGCAGGTATATTCATCGCTTCCACTAAGTGACACCCTATACATGGCGTCAAAAACTGTTGGTTTACAAAATTCGTAAAACCGAACCGAAAATACTATGTTAAGTCCCATRAGTAGCTTCTAAATAAACTTTACGTTTATGAGAACTTATCCAGATACACGGTAGCTTGTGTAAATACATATATTTTAATTCACGAAGAGATTCATAATTATTCGCCATACATTTTCTACAAGGAGGGAGTGAAATCCAAGCCGAAAAAATTCTAAGTGCCACGCTCCAACTGCGCATGTCGATTCGAGTTTTCTGGCGATAAGAACTAGGGATCCCAGTAAATATCACCATTTATTTCTGTGTAGGGGTAATGTGGATGCTAAGCACTGGCTACTTATGACTACTTTTTTCCTTATTTTATTGAGTGTTTCAATTGTCTTGAAAGTGTTTCTTCCTTTATTTCTATTTTTTGATGGAAAGACCATAAGATTTTTGAGGGTAGGGGGGTGGGGTTGGGCAATTTATTTTGTGCAGGATTTTTTTTATGCCTCATGGCTGTCCAGGAATTTTGTTTGAACATAATTTAGATTTTTTTTAGACTTGTCTTATGCACGATTTTTTCTTTCACTCCGTTTAAAGCTGTGCTTTTTGGGGGGATTTTCTATCGGAACCTATACAGAATTCAAGCCTGGAAAATACTCGTCAGATTCAAATAAGGAACCCTATTTCAAAATGAAGTCACGGTTTGTTTACATATTTAGCGGTTGGTTTACATATTTAGCGTAATGTTTAGTTGTTCTTGGCTTCACCAGCTCATAAACCAAATTTCATTGTCATTTGAGATGTGTTGATGCATGCCATGCCATCCCCCTCTA